AGGGGGAGACGAACCATGAGAGATGATGGACTCTGAAAAACAAACTGAGGGTTCTAGAGGGGAGGGGTGTGGGGGGATGGGTTAACCTGATGATGGGTATTAAAGAGGGCACATTCTGCGTAAAAAAAAAAAAAAAGAAGTGGTTGAGTTCTGGATATATTTTGAGGCTAGAGCCAACAGGAGGTGTTGCCTATTTGATAGGGTATAAGAGAAAGAAAGTAGTGAAGGATGACTTCACAAATTTTGGCTTGTGTAACTTGAAGGATGGAGATGCCGTTTAGTAAACATGGAGGAAGAATATAGGAGGATCAAGGGAGAGATCAGGAGTTCACCTTGGGACAGGTTACATTTGATATACCTACTACAAGTTGAAATCTTGAGTAGGCTATTTAGTGGAGCTTAGGGGAGCAGTCCAAGTTGGTATATAACTTTGGGATTTGTCAACATGTAGACGGTGTTTAAAGCCATGAGAGAGGATGAGATTTCAAAGGAAGTAAGTGTAGAAGAAAAGAGAACTGAGCCCTAGGTCACTCTTAACATTTATCAGTGTGGGAGATGAGGAGGAATTAACAAAGGAGATGGAAATCTCAGCCACTGAGGAGGAAAATCAAGAAAGTATGATGTCCTGGAAATCAAGTGGGGGGAAAGAGCGTCTACAAGGAGGGAGTGATCAACAGAAGCCAAGTGATGAAAGTTTTCCAAGAGAGAAGGAGTGATCTGCTCTGCCAGATGAAGCTGATGGGTCAAGTACAATGAGGACTAAGAATTGAAAACTGGAATCAGCAATGCCAGATTACTGAAGATCTTTGACAAATTATGGTAGAATGGAAAGAAGGGGACAAACTCTGACTGCAGGAGTAAATGAGATGAGATAAATGAAGGAAGGAGTACAGACAAAAAAAATTTTTTTCTGTAGAGTAGAACAGAGAAATGGGAAAATAGCTGAAAGGGATTAGAGGTCAAGAAGGCTTTTTTTTAAGATGCAAGAAATTACAGCATGTTCGTAAGCTGAAGAGAATTCTCTCAAAGAGAAAATTTTGACAAAATAAAATTGTTAACATTTGGCATCAGTGAATAATATAATAACCACAGACATCATGATTTGATTGCCAATCTTAATCCAAATATTTTCTTCTGAATGGTTTTTACCTGAAAAAAACACAGTTGTTGCTGCAAGCAGAGCATATTCAGTATTAGTAATATTAAGTTCACTCATTCTTCTGTAGAAGTAAAACAATGTGGTAATAAATTCTTCAGCAATACCTAAAAAGATTAATATCAAATGTATTTTCATCAGACAATAGCGCATAATCAAACATATGGCCATTATCATCTTTTCTCAAAGCAGAATAATAAATTGAAGCATTATATCTGACCAATTTTTTCGATCCAATATAATATTTTGTATTGTATGTAATATTACCAGTCAGTGTAGTAGGAGGACAGTCTTCATTGCAAAATGTTTCCATAGAATAAATAACACTTCTATCAGCACTCTGATTGTGACAATTCAGTGAATGATCTGAATGATGTGATACTCTCATAGTACCTAGCAACAGGGAAAAATATAAAGTCTGATTTTTAAAAAATCTTTATACAGATAGTAAATCCAATCTCTCTAATCTGTTAGACAGGAAATATTCCCAACAAATGGTAGCTTTATAATTTTTATTACTGGAACATGAACTGAGATTAATAGTTCAGATTTTATATAAATATTGTATAGAAAACCCTTCAAAAATGTTTTCCATGATGCCATATAATTTTTAAAAAAGGTTTGTTTGTTTTTTTTAAAGAAAAGCAAAAGGTAGACCAATGAATTGGAAAAGCTATTATGAAGTACTTATTCCTATACTAACTAGTAAAGTGAAAATATAATAAAAAATAATCTTATATAATTTGTTGCTGTATTTAATAGTAACTGTTAACATTAAGACTGAGTTGGTTGGCCTTTTTTACTTTCAGAAGCTGATGAAAGACATTCTTTCTGACTGTAAAGTTGGGCTCCATGAAGGAACATCACTTCAGTTTTTGATCCCTTGCATAATGCAGTCTGGTCCTCAGTTGTCAAATTTTCAAATCCTTGAAGAAAAGATCACATAATTGTTTGAAATCAGTAATGAAAAGATAATTTTCAGGTATAAGATTTAATTATTCATTTAGTTATAATATGAATCCTAAGTGTTTCCTTAGGATAATCACGATCTATAATTTCAAATATGAACAAAATTCTTGATTCCACATGGTAATATTTTGGAGCACTTTCATCAGAACTGGATAATAATACTTCCATATGACAAGAGGAAATTAAACAAAGTTTAGCCTCAAAGAATTTATTTTTACAATGAGTTATCTGTGCATTTAAATAAGTAAGTTTTGGCCAACTGTAGCTTGATTTTTTTCATATTATACAGGCAATTTTATTTGTTTCATGTTTTATATAAAAAAACAATTTATTTCAAAACATTAAAAGATAGAATCAACCATATTATGTGTCTTGCTCTAAGTCTATGGAGTCATTTGAATATTTTTAAATATTAATATTTTTCAATCACTTGATTGGTTTTGTTTTGTTTTTAGAGAGGGAGTAAGAGAGAGTGCACAAGAGAGGTGGGGAGGGGCAGAGGGAGAGGGAGAGAGAGAGAATCTTAAGCAGTCTCCATACTCAGCACAGAGCACAATGTGGGGCTAGAACTCACAACCCTGAGATCATGACCTGAGCTGAAATCAAGAGTGGGGTTCTTAACCAACTGGGACACCCAGGCACTCCCCCACACCTGATTGTTTAAAGCAGACAAAATGAACATGTTTTTGCATTTTGAAGCAGCTTTTGGTGGAAAAATACAGGGTTTTGTTTTCCTAAAATGTTCCCTGCCTTTAAAACAGGGAACTTTTTAAAAATTAAGTAGTATGAAATTATTTTCCAAAGGTAAAGTGATTACCTGGGAGTCCCTTGGTAAAATCCATTAACCCCTGTAGGTGTGGGACCACTGTCTCTGAGAGTCGCAAGAAGCTCAGTTCAGGATTTGCATACTTCTGCAGCTAGCCAACAAAAAGAAATGAGAGTAATAGATTTTATTTCTTTCAACTAACTTTAAATATTTAACTTTCATGTTTATGCTATTGTTTTCTAACATAATTAGTTATAAATTATTTCTTGCCGTTAATGAACACATACAAATTTCTTTGTTTCCTCTAAAGGAATTGTATATTTTTGATGAGCAGCCACAATGTTATTAATGAGCTGATGTTCCTCTTGAGTTAGTTCCATGCTCTCCTGAATCTATAAGAAAACATAGGGGGAAAACTATAATGAATTTGTATTAAGCAAGACATGTCATCATTAAAGAAAAAAGAAATTTTATAAGAATCTTGCCACTTTTCCAGATCTAGTGGTGGATGATACAAGCTTGTTGTCTACTCCTCCCTCTTCCATTTTGATATTAGAGCAAAAACTATTCTTCTGTTTAAAGTTCTTTCGAAGTCTCTTTGATTTGCATTGGATTTCTGTGAGCAAACCTGTGATATTACAAAATTCATATAAAATGTTTTAGGTATGGCAAATAACATTATAGGATTCAATGAAAATTGTCTTACACTGTACACATATATTATTATAGACTTGTCTTTTCACAAAGAACCTTCCTTTTTTGGCAAGTATGTACACAGCAATTAAATTTACTTCATTACTTTCTCCTTTTCCTTCCATAACTACCCTCTACTTAAAAGTACACAGTCATCCTAGACATATATTAAAAACCGATTTTGCATCTCCAAACCATAAATTTAGACCTTTTATGTTAGAGAAATTTCCACATCATATCTTGGAAACAACATAGAATATCAATTGATATAGAAATTCAACTACCTTATCTATGAGCTTTTCTCTTTGATTTTTTTTGTTTCTTTGTTTTTTATTTTTATTTTTTATTTTTTTAAAATAATTTTTTATTGTTATGTTAATCACCATACATTACATCATTAGTTTTTGTTGTAGTGTTCCATGATTCATTGTTTGTGCATAACACCCAGTGCTCCACGCAGAATGTGCCCTCTTTAATACCCATCACCAGGAAAGAGCCCCCAAAGTCTACAATAACACTTACATTCTGCCAACATTCCTACTGCCTTACACTTTTTCAGTCTGCACTCTTGACATTTCCTACGCATGTACATGTCCATTTCACAGTGGCCACCATTCTTGCAACGATATACTGCATTTTTGGTGATGCTACGTCGAAAAAAACCTAATGACAAAAAAAGTACTTTTAAAATTTTACTATTAGGTATTTTTAGTTTTTTTATTAATATAATACCTTTCTAGTAGAGTTAAATAATTGAAATAACTAAATTATTACAATAAAATGTTTTTTTCCATCAATAAGATTTAGTTTAATATACATTTATATTCCCTTATGATTGATATCTTCTAATCCAAGGTTGTTCCTTTCAATAATCACATGTGGAAATTAAACAAAATAGTTCCATCACATTATGATAACTTTCTATTTTAGTATGGTTATAATGTACCATCTAAAAGCATTTTTACAACTATGTTGTACAGAATATCAAGATTCCATGAAGCATCTCTCAAGGTGCCCTTGAAAGAATATATGCTCTTGTAAGACTGTAAGGAAAACCTCTTCTCTCCTCGTATTTCCACCTCAACCCATAAATAGGAAGAGATATTCTTCGAAACTTACTCCTGTCTCACCTTCCCAAAGGTGAGAAAATATTTTTAGGTTTTTTTGGTCTGAAAAATTGAATAGGCCATGGTGTATGTGTGTGTGCATGTGTGTGTGTGCGTGTATGTGTGTTTTGGGGGAGGTGTCTATATTTTCCCTTTCACTTCTTAAATCCATGCATAGCAATCCCCCTTCCTACTTCTTCTTTCATTCCCCATTCCTATGCAATAACCCCTGCTATCTTCCTCTTAATCCATTCCAAGCAGTAAAGTTGATAAGCTTTGTCAATGCCCCTCTTAGAGACCTGTGATACCCTTTTTTTCTGTAAACACACTTGAGTGAGAGTTTTGTGATTTAGATTCATCAAAGGAAATAGAAAGCTCAGCTTAAGTTTTCCAGAACTATGCCTCATCTTCCATCTAGTTCTTTTTTTTTTAAGATTATTTATTTATTTATTTGAGAGAAAGAGAGATTACTAGAGAGAGAGAACAAGCATAAGTGAGGGTCAGAGGGAGAGGGAAAAGAAGGATGCTGGGCTCCATCCCAGGACCCTGGGATCATGACCTGAGCTGAAGGTAGATGCTAACTGAGCCAACCAGGTGCCCCTTCTTCCATCTAGTTTTAACATCAAGGCCCTGCATTTTAAGAATAAGCAAATACTTGCCCAGCTATTCTATTCATAAAGATGGTACCTAATTTCCCACAGTCTTCATTTGGCTATTCTTTGTTAGGGGTGAGTTGTGAGATTCTGACAGTAAATCTTCACCCTGAACTTCTAACAGATATGTTTACCAAGAGCTGCATTGGCCTAATCATTTCCAGGTTCTGTTCCAACGTTGCATTTGTAAATAAAAACAATGCAGAAGTGTTTCAAAACCTCAAAACTTCATCAAAGACTATTTCACTCTTTGAAAATTTCATTGTCAATGATGATCTTCACTTGCAAACCTCCCATTTTCAAAAAAGCATTCAAAGAAATTAAAATAGAATTATAGAAGTGGTTTAATTCCAATTCCCTTCTAATGCATGAATTATATCAACCACATGAGAAGATGTAATAGTTAACATTCAGATATTTTTAAAAATCATTTTCTTCCTTTTAAAAGATTTTATTTATTTGAGAGAGAGAGTACACGTGCTGAGCAGAGGGAGGGGTAGAGGGGAAGGGGCAGAGGGCTAAGGATAGGGACAAACAGACTCTGAGCCAAGCGCAGAGCACCACTGGGGGAACGATCCCACCACCTGAGATCACAACCTGAGCAGAAACCAAGAGCCAAGTACACAACTGACTGAGCCACTCAGGCCCCCCTAAAAATCATTTTCTATTCCATATCAGATTCATCTAAGAACATAGAAACCTTCTGCTGTATAAATACTGAATTTTATATTTAAAGGCAAAAGTTTTCATCAAAAATGAAAAACTAAATCAAAACTATTACATTCCATTTTCATGTCTTTTATGACACAGATGATCACCTTTAAATGTATCAACAGCTCTCTCTGGTTTTATTTTTCACACTTTGAAAAGTAAGAGTATTCTTTTTTTTATGATCAGTTAGCCAACATATAGTACATCATTAGTTTTTGATGTAGTGTTCAACGATTCATTAGTTGTGTATTCTTACATGCCGAAACTTCCATGACTCTTCAGTGAACACTAGGACTTCAGTTTTGTTTTAACTTTATCCTTACCTTTACAACCTTCACAAGTAAGTGCATTATAATGATATCCTGATGCTTTATCACCACACACTACACAGAGTTCTTCCTGTTGCTTAATCCGAATGGAAGAGTGAGTGAGTCTGGACCTTTTTATTCCAGAGTATCCATCTTTAGCATCATGGTCAACCACATAATTGGGTTTATTTAATTCATAGGAACCAAATCCACATTCTCCACCACTGAACTGTGGGTCCAAGCTGTAAGTGTTGAAATGACTTTGTAAAGATTGGGACTGTAGAGCTGTTGGAAACTGGAAGGTAGAATACTGGCAATAAGCTGATTCTTGAAAATCAGTGTCATGAAGCTGATAGTTGATTTGCTCTGGCAGAATATCTAGTTGTTTTCAACATAAAAAAGAATAAATGGTAAAAAGTCAAAATTCCATACTTGTTTTCAAATATCAAGGAGTTTATGCTCAACAGTTAGTTCAACATATCCACTACGTCCCAGGGACTTCCTGGCCAGCATGAGGAACAGGCAGTAAACTGAATTGCAGTACATCATAAGTGCTGCCATCTCAGTGGTATGCAGAGGTTGCTCAGGAGCTGGGAGAAAGGGCAGTCTGTTGCTAAGTCTGTGGCTTACATACCAATCCAATCTCCCATCTTAAATAGAAATGCATATTTCCCAGAGTTTGGAAGGAAAGAAGGTTTTCCCATCTTTTGCATTTCCCTTGTGTGGGTACAACTGTTTGCAGTAAATCAGGTCAGTAAAGAGATGAATTAATACATTATCCCACCCCCCCAAAAAATCAAACTAAAATACAATTTTACCTGGTTATTTCAAGCAAAAAAAAATGTTTTTGTTTTAACTCCCCATTAAATATACCTTAACACTCTCCTTTGCCATTTGTAGATCTGATTTAAATTATTAGTTTCTTTTGTGTTTTGTTGACTAACAATTCTAACTAGCAATTATCTGGGGATAAATTCACCTAGTCTACCAGGTTACTATAAGGATGAAACAAAATATGGTATGCAAAAGCATATATAAAATATAAAATGATGCTTAATGAATATCACTATTATAAGTATCAGAAGCTCCCAAACACCAACTTACTTTCTTTTTTCTTTTGTAAGATTTATTTATTTATTTCAGAGAGAGAACACATACACACACACACACACACACACACACACACACACACACACGCAAGCTGGGGGATGGGCAGAGGGAGAAGGAGAGAGAGAATCCTTGGGCAGACTCCGGCTTGATTCCAGGACCCTGAGAACATGGCCTGAGCCAAAATCAAGAGCCGGCCGCTTAACCAGACTGAGCCACCCACGTGCCACCAACTTACTTTCTGCTTTCAGGAAAATTTCTAAATCTAAATCCAGAAGATTGGCTCCAAAAGGACCCAGGAATACTGAATTGCTCTATGTCGCTAACTAGTAATATTTGTACTTTTCCTGATGCTGAATCAGGTATTTTTAACCTCAAAATTCTACCACCAAGATTGGTGAACAGTTATAATTTTTATTAATTTACATAAATCACTTGCAATCTTATACCATTCAGTCTAATGCTAAGTGTTGAGAAAATACTAATGACAGCCTAATATAAAAAGAAAGGTTATCAGTAAAACCAATGTAACTGTTTTTATTTTTAAAGATGACCTTTCTTGAATGAGTGTCAAAAGACTGCAGAATACTAGCTGATGTTCCATTGGCATGGAAATTAGAATTGAGGTCCTAACCCTAAACTTAACTCTAAAAGAAAACTGCATTTAAAATTAAATTTATATAATGGACATTAAGAGGGCAAATGATGTAATGAGCACTGGGTATTATATAAGACTGATGAATCACTGACCTCTACCTCTGAAACCAATAATACATTGTATGTTAATTGAATTTAAAATTTTTAAAAACTTAATAAAAAATAAAAATAATACATAAATACATACGTAAAATTCCAAAAAAATGCCACAAAAAAACCCCAAAATAATTAAAATTTAAAAATTAAATTAAATTTACCTTATAGCCTTAGTCTTTTTGGAGAAAATTCCTATTGTATCCTGAATTCTGTTCCTATTTCTTTCCCTTTGATAAAAGTCTTATATTAAGATGAAAATTTCAAGTATATTGAATAGCTACTCCAAGCTACATTTACTAAATTGCAAGCGAACTAGCTTCAACTAACCCCTAAAAATAACTTCTAATTTGCATGTTAATTCAAATTTTAAAAATTAAATATAATTTTAGACTATCATGCTTTTCCCTCTTTACATTTGATTCTGGCTTACAACAGTTTAGTATTACTGATTTTTTTAAATTAATTATATTCTTTTGTATGAGAGTAATTTTTAAGTTTCTTATTTTAATTCCTCTTGTAGGGAACAATTTAAAGTCTTTGGTTTACTTGTTAATTTCTTTAAAAAAAAACACCTCTGTAATTAACCATAGTGTCACACAAAAAGTGTTTTATCAACTGTTATACTGTAGCTTTTTGTTACATACCATAGTACTGTACTGTTTCAGCAAGACAGTAACCATCAGGTGTAGTGACATAAGTACTTGCCATTCTCTGCTCCAATTCTCATTTATTCATCAGTGAATGCTGAACTAGAACTGAAGGAAATAAAACTTTTGTAGACTATTTGAAAGTATGATCATCAAGTCAGCATGATTTTATAAAAGTACAATACTATTTTGAAAAATAAAGAGTTTAGCAGAATTTATACATGAGACGTTTATATTTATCCTTTAACTGGAAGAATATTGAGTTTTCATATCTCTACACACCAAATTATTAATTCTGCCAATTTCTTATTGCTCAGCTCTTTACAAATAACTCAATAAATCTTGGTAATAATCAAGGTGGCTTTTGAAAGTTTACCAAGCTTTGGTATTAGGCTTCATATACTGCTTTCACCAACTAGTTGGCTAGTTATTTATGGGTCATTCATTAAATCTCCTTAAACCTTAGTTTCCTCATTTGTAGGAGAAAAATAATAAAACCCTCCTAGCAAAATTGTTGGGAGAGTTTAATTAATATATATAAAATCCAGCACAGTTCTTGTCTTAATAACTGATTCTCATAATTGCTATTCTAATAGTTTCAAGATCTCAGTGTTCTAAATTAAGATGAATTAGGAAGAAAAATTGGACTTTTTCATGAAAGAAATTAAGGAGTAGGAAAAAATGGCTTTCAATAGCACTTGTTTTTATCTTCTAAATCCACTCTATTTTCATAGCCCTGTGATATGCTAAACATTAAAATATTAATTTTGGTTCTGCTTGACTAATTAAAATTTTTTTTATTTATTGAAAAAAGTTAATGGACTACTGGAAAAAGAGTTTTATTTTTAATAGTAAAGCCTAAAACTAAAATGAACAAGTCAGGAAATGACAGATGTTGGACAGGATGCAGAGAAAGGGGAACCCTCTTACACTGTTGGTGGGAATGCACCTGGTGCAGCCACTCTGGAAAATACTATGAAGGTTCCTCAAAAAGTTAAAAATACCCTACAACCCAGCAATTGCACTACTAGGTATTTATCCAAAGATACAAACAGTGATTCAAAAGGGCACATGCACCCCAATATTTATAGCAGCAATGTCCACAATAGTCCAAATATGGAAAGAGCC